ATATAAAGTAATTATACAAAAAATATTATCACGAAAAAATTAATATTTAGTATGACTACCTTTGACCTTAATTATCGCTTTAATCCAATTAGGCATACTTAAAATTAGGCGATAACATGTTTCAATAGTGATTTTTCGCCACTCATCTTGTACTATCTCAATTAACTCCTGTTTAGATCTGGATATAGGCTTCCTTTTTTGAACTTGACTATCCAAATAGTTCTACAGATTCTTGATCGGGTTAAGATCAGGACTTTACCCTACCCAATCTAAAATTGGAATGTTATGTATTCTCATTCACCAAATACTGTAAGTTGAAGTATGACATGACGCTTCATCTTGCTGAAAAATAGAGTTGAGGTAATTGTCAACCTATAGAATAAACCGATTTGCTAGAATATTAACGTATTTGTCAGAATCCATATTCCCTTTCACTACAACTAAAGGTTCAACCCTATGCCAACCAAAATACCCCCAAAATATTACTGATTTCCCTTCAAACTTAACTGTAGATTGAATACAATCTTTATTATATGCTTCTTCAGAACTTCTCTATACTCTTGCTTAACCATCTGATTGAAAAAAAGCGAATCTTGACTCGTCTGATCATACCACTTATTTCTATTCCTCCACCCAATTTTTTTTTCTTTGCATCATTTCAAGCGATTAGTTTGATGTTTTTTGTTTAAATAAGGCTTTTTTGCAGTGTAATTTTTGAGACCTTCATCATAAAGGTAACTTCTAACCATATTAGAGTGTAAAGTTGTATTAAGGCTGATATTAAACTTGTCTGTTATATCACCTAGAGGAGATAACCGGTCAGTTCGTATGATATGTTTTAAAGCTCGGGTATCATGTTCTTTGAGTTTTTTTAGTCTTCCAGAACATTACTTAGGTTCAGTAGAACTTGTTTCTCTATACTTTTTATAATATCACTTACAGTACTAGTTGGTATATTAAGTTGAGTAGAAATGACTGTTTGTTTAGTATCAGTAAGATATGCACTAATAA